ATCAATTCAACTTTCTTGTGTAGGAATACACTGCGGAGGGGCGATAATATACCTTGTTAGATGCATTTTGCTTCAGCGGGAGTTATAGGTTAGGGTTGGTTCGCTGGCTTACCGTGTCCGTGTATCTCCAAAATTCGAAGTTCTCGGCTTGAAAGGCGATGATTTGGGTTCGATGAAGTCCATTGCAGCACTCGCGATTGAAATCCATTCGCAAGAACAAAAACACAAACACAAATAAATAACTTAAATATTAGACGTGCCGGTCCCAGCAGAAGAAGAGAAGAGCCTGTTTTTGGCGGGAGATGGCTGGCGTAGTGGCGAGACCGGAAATAAGTAAAAACAAACAAATGGAGGCGCGGGTGGATTTAAAAACAAAGCTCAAAAAACTGGCGAAAGTCTCGCGAAACCTGCCTCCAGCAGCCGCGTCGCTTCCACAAACAAAACTACATCCAGACATGTTGCATTCGGGGCTCCCAGCGCCGCTCACGCTCACATCAGACCTCGGCTGACGAAATTATTTTTCTCCTTACAGGCGTGTAAAAGGCCCGGCCCTTGGTGCCGGTGCCGAGGCACCCGGGGCTCTTTTTGAAATCCATTAAGCCCCGTGCGGCCGTGCCCGAGCCGTGCACCGGACGGGTATCTGAGCCGAGCCGCCTCATTAGGAATACACTGGAAGGGAGACGGGCGTGACGTCATGATTGTTGTTTAAAGGGTGAAAACAGACGAAAGGAGAGTGCGTTGTAGACGTGTCGCCGTCGAGTCCAAGACGGCGCGGCGCGGCATAGTGTGGACGTACCGTATGATGGTGACACCGCTCCGTTTGAACCGCACCGAAACAGAAGATTAGTGGCTAAACCAATCAGGAAAAATATTTCAGCCGTGTACCTTTAAAAAGTAGCTATATAGCTAACCCATTGGCTAAATGAGCGATAAATAGTGATTTAGCTATGTTGCTAACAAAAATTAGCTCTGTAGCTAAACATAGCTAAAATTTTAGCTACATAGCAAAGTAAGCCGTTATTCCCCTTTTAGCTATTGGTTTAGCCAGAGAAGCAAATAATATTTTCCCGTGCGTGGTTCGCAGTCGAACATTCTCGTATGCACAGGCTCATTGATGTTGAATGGTTACTGGTCCTAACTAACCCTTTTTAAACTGTTTTTGCAACGCGTTATGACTGATAGGAAAAGTGACAAAACGCGACCGTTGCGATGCGAAAACCGTGCTAGCCTGAGGGCCTGAGCCTCCCTCCTCCAGGCGCGACAAGCCTCCAGGGCCTCCGGTTCATCAAGATGTATAAGCGAGTTAGGCCCGCCTTACTGTAAATGCCGTAGATGCGGCGGCGGGGGCCAGGCGGGGCCGCCTGGGCAGCCTGGGCAGCGCTAGGGCAGAGCGGCAGAGCCAGCGACATAACATGACGGTCATTCACCTGCCGGGAAAAAAACAACGGTTTGTTTATATCGGCTCCGGAGAGAGGAGAGAGAGGAG